TCTCTCTGTATGGCACACTGACACACAGCTCTCTCTGCGACATCACTGACCCTCTGTCTGTATGGCACACTGACACACAGCTCTCTCTGCAACATCACTGACCCTCTGTCTGTACGACACACAGCTCTCTCTTTGTGTTTCCAGTGTCTGGAGGTGAAGGATGTTTGTCTGGACTCTGAACATCATGAGCTTGGAGCTGTACAACAAGACTAAATGATCTACACCCTGCCATCTCCTGTAACATCCACAGCTCTGATGTGCAGTAGATTTCCTGGAGATGATCTGGGAGGAAAGAGGAAGTGGGTCATCTCCCACAATGCTTTTCGAATGCTTGTATCATCATGACGACCAGAGAGCTGGCCCAGCCCTGTGAAGGAGGAGTTTGATGAGATCAAGAGCTCACAATATTCTCTCTGTGTCCTCTTTTTCTCTCTAGTCTTTTATCTTCCATCCCTTCTCCCCTCTCTCTGCACAAGCAAAGCTGCTCTCATCTTCAACACAACAGTGGTGCTTTTCAGCCACAATCCCTGACTGGAGCAGATCCTGGGGCCCAGTACCAGTATCAGCAAGAAGAAACATCTCCTCTCCTCCCTGTGAGCTTCTTGAGGGCCATTCCTGTAGACTGGGAAAAGATCATGGTTTGGCTCCAACAGAGCAGGACGTTAAGAAGCTCGGAGTGGCTGTGGGAGTTTGGGAGTGGGTGTAGGAGATGTAACGTATCTCTCACTTCTGTACGGAGACGCCGATGTGCCAGAGAGCTGTTCCTTATACTGAATCTCCTTTTCACACTTGGAAACCAACTGGACTCTTTTACAAAGAAAGACATCGTGAGAGGCAGTTGTCCTACAGAACAGATTCTGGGTGTCCTGAGAGAGAGTTCAGTGTGTGAGCCCCACGACTCAGAGATCAGACAGAGAAAGGGCATTCAGCCATGCTCCTGCTTCACGGACAGGGTTTCCAGGAAATAATAAAGGGCTCTGGGATTAGTGGCGATGTCAACTGTGAGCACAGAGACACACAGCTTAATGCCCCTCTGCCCAAACTATCATTACAGAGCTGCAGAAGAATTAAACTGTTACAAAAATGTTTAAGCACTTTTTAACCCTTGTTAGTTATACTGTTGTATTACTGAACATGAATCATAAATGTGATTACAAATTACACAGTCTATCCTCAAACTGTGTGAGTTGCTCTATGATATATAAATATCCCACAATAATGTTGTATGTGAGGTGTGTAAAATGCCCTATGATATATCTGTACTATAAATTTCTATATTTTTTTATTTGGTTGTACATCGGCAACACTGTAGTTCATCAATGCCAATAAAGCTCTTTGTGTTTGAAATTATAAGATAAACTAGCTCAGTTATAGATTTACAGTTGTAGATGCAGTTTGCATTGTGTGGAGAAGAGAAGAATTATCAGGTAGGACCTCTGTCCATTACCACCAGTGGGCACTGCTGCTTATGTGCTAGTGTGAGGTATCGCAGTGAAGCCACCATCTTGGCTTAAAACCAGGACAAGCAGTGGACCATGGAGCCAACATGGCCGAATAACCACCACGTGCTACAGAATGAGACACACCGAAAGGCCGCGGGAGAGTTTGGATCCCTGCTGTGGGTTCCCATTATGCATCTGGGGAGAGCAGTGGACTGGAGACAATGAGAGGTGTTGATGGAAAGAAACAGTCGTGAAACTTGTTACAGATCTTTTTTTAAATGGAAGTGCACTGTGGAGGGAAATAACTACTGAAACCAAAATGCTTGGTGATGCAACAGGAGATCAAGATCTCGTTTGTCCCAAGATCACACCACAGAAATCATAAGCTATACATGTTATTCTACATTGTTGGGCAGACCAGTGTCCCACAGGCTGGACAGCAATATCAGGTGATACAGACCAGCTCAGTGCCCCCAGCAGTCTGTAAAGCTTGATAGAGACTCATCAGAGAGGCTGGACTCCAGTGTCAGGGGCAGCGAGACTCTACACTGGGCACTATCAGGTGACACAGACCAGCTCAGTGTTGTTAACCCCAGCAGTCTGTAAAGCCTGATAGAGACTCATCAGAGAGGCTGGGCTCCAGTGTCAGGGGCAGTGAGACTCTATACTGGGCACTATCAGGTGATACAGACCAGCTCAGTGCTGTTAACCCCAGCAGTCTGTAAAGCCTGATAGAGACACATATCAGAGAGGCTGGGCTCCAGTGTCAGGGGCAGTGAGACTCTACACTGGGCACTATCAGGTGATACAGACCAGCTCAGTGCTGTTAACCCCTGTTCTTCTGTCCTTGTGCTTATCTGACCAGTCCAGACTGGGCTCATAATCATTATACACACTACACACACATTATATATTATTTTGGATATATTTCTAATTAAATCATCGTGTATATCTACCCAATTGCGGACATTTTACTGGAGTTATTACAGTAAACTATCAGCCTCTTATAAAGTCTATATAATACTGTACCTCCCTAATTATAATTATAACAATTGCTTAGACCTATATAGCGCTTAAAAGGTAATGGGGAATCCCACTACTGCCACCAATGTGCAGCATCCACCTGGATGATGCGACAGCAGCCATAGTGTGCCAGAACACTCACCACACATCAGCTATCAGTGGGGAGGAGAGCAGATTAATGTAGCCAATTCATAGAGGGGGATTATCAGGAGGACATGATTGAAAAGGGCCAATGGGAAATTTGGCCAGGACGCTGGGGTTACACCCTGAAGAAAGATGTGAAGACAGGGGTTTGAATTTAATCTTTTCTGTAGGGGGTTTAGACTTCCAAGTCACAAGCAGGGGTTTATGGCAGG